GAACACCTGCCCTGAAAATCTCCGTGTACGCCACTGGACTTCACATTCACTTAACAATGAAATTATTTATTATTTTTAAGGGGGAGAAATTATTGATAAAATCAAGTCAGACATAAATAAAAATAGAATTTAAAATAATTTGACTTTTTTATAATTAAATACCGGATATTTTCGTCGTAAATTTTTATACATGTGTGAGTGTGTGTTTAAAAAAGCCCCCGTTTTTAACAGTGATGTTAAACTCATTTGATCCCCATGTGACTTTTATTGTGCGGGATTCACACACACTCACGCACTCACGTGCACGCGCAAAGGCAAAAGAGTGAGAGGGAGGGTATTTGTTCCTCCTCTCCTCACCCCCTGTATTTATTTTGTTTAAAGATTCTGACTCTGAACCTGAGGCCTGGGGATAAAAATCTCATATTATGGTTATGGGTTCGAATCCCGGTCCCTGTTTTTACCGACAGTGAAAACGTTGTCAAAAACGGTTCTAAATAGGACTGAAACACGGGTGTAAAAACACACACACACTCGAAGCTCTTCATCTCTATAAGAGACTCAGGGAAGTGCACATAAATATTTGATGCAGTATAAATACACGGTAAAGAGTTTTTAACAGAGAGGAACGACTGCGATGATGACGGACACGGACTTTCCATCACAGACAACAGACAAGTGCAGACGCTGTGGAGAGGATATCAAGACGAATGACGTTCTCCCGCTTTTCCCGCTCCACCGCCTCCTGCTCGCTCCTGCTGCTCGGGAACTTATCCTTGTTGTTCTCCTTCTTCCACTTCATCCTGCGGTTCTGGAACCAGATCTTCACCTGCCTCTCCGTCAGCGCCAGCGCGTGCGACACCTCGATGCGGCGCTTCCGGGTCAAGTAGGGGTTGAAGAGGAACTCCTTCTCCAGCTCCAGGGTCTGGTAGCGGCTGTAGGTCTGTCGGCCGCGCCTCCTGCCCGCAGCTGCTGGGAGAGAGGGAGGAACAGATCTGAAGTCTCAACGTGTTCTCACACACACAGAGGCAGCACAGCATCACTGTGACCTCTGACCTCTGACCAAACAGCCACGAACTTTATAACTGTTCATTATTATAACGGTAGGGTAGGTGGGGGGGAGGGGGAGTGAACACCTGCCCTGAAAATCTCCGTGTACGCCACTGGACTTCACATTCACTTAACAATGAAATTATTTATTATTTTTAAGGGGGAGAAATTATTGATAAAATGAGTCAGACATAAATAAAATAATTTGACTTTTTTATAATTAAATACCGGATATTTTCGTCGTAAATTTTTTTATACATGTGTGAGTGTGTGTTTTTAAAAAAGCCCCCGTTTTTAACAGTGTTGTTAAACTTATTTGATCCCCATGTGACTTTTATTGTGCGGAATTCACACACACTCACGTGCACGCGCAAAGGCAAAAGAGTGAGAGGGAGGGTATTTGTTCCTCCTCTCCTCACCCCCTGTATTTATTTTGTTTAAAGATTCTGACTCTGAACCTGAGGCCTGGGGATAAAAATCTCATATTATGGTTATGGGTTCGAATCCCGGTCCCTGTTTTTACCGACAGTGAAAACGTTGTCAAAAACGGTTCTAAATAGGACTGAAACACGGGTGTAAAAACACACACACACTCGAAGCTCTTCATCTCTATAAGAGACTCAGGGAAGTGCACATAAATATTTGATGCAGTATAAATACACGGTAAAGAGTTTTTAACAGAGAGGAACGACTGCGATGATGACGGACACGGACTTTCCATCACAGACAACAGACAAGTGCAGACGCTGTGGAGAGGATATCAAGACGAATGACGTCCACCCCCC